AGTCTGAAAATAAGCACCTCCCACCACAAAGGTACTAATGACCTTTTCTCTTCCATCTCTCCAATCTCACTTGTTTCAACAGGCTTACAAATTTGCTGAGGCACCTCAGCGTGATGCCCTTACAATACACCAATTATGGAGAAACAAGTCAATTGAGACACTTCACACACACTCCGGAGTTCCAAGCGCTCTGTGCACTTGCACTGCATCCACCACCCAGATCAATCAGCACAAGTGACACACTGCACTCTAGACACACAAGGGCTTGTTGTGCTTGTACTGACACCTAGGTGTGGCTCAAGTCAGGCTGGTTTTACAGGTACCACTCATCACACACCATCATTGCACATTTACTACAAAATTATTTATTAGACAGCAATACACAGCTTTAGCAGGAAGCTTATATACATGCACACAACACTGCTGACTACCCTACTCGGGGACTCTAGCTCTTTTGCCCTTGGCCTTGCGGACCTCTTCTATCAGGTCTTTTAAGTACTGAATTTCCTTGCTAAGGGAATCTGCTTTCTCCTTCAGGGCCTGGTTCTTCTGCTCCAACTCTCTGCACTCCCCAGACAGTGCCTCCTGTTCCGCCCTCTTTTTCTGCCGGTAACGTGTGGCAGCAGTCTTATTCTGCTCCATCTTTTTTAGTTTCTTATCTATTTTCTTTTCTCCCTTCACCTTTGCTGACACTACCTTCTCTGCAGGATGATCGTATGGCTTGGACCGCACAGAGCCACAGGGGGCATCTGCAGGGAACTGGCTGCCATTGGGGGATCCCACTGAATTGGTGGGGCTGTGTTGGGGGGTTCCCAGGTAGGAGTCTGGGCTCATGCATATTCCACTGTCATCAGAGTGGTTCTCGTCCTCTTTCTCAGACTTGGTGATCACCACCACAACAGTGGGGTACTCCCGCTTCCTTTCTCCTTCCAGAACATCCACTTCGCTACCTAGCTCTAAACTGAATGAGTGGTCTTGAGTGGAAGTCAGAGACCCTGGGGAGAGGGGGAAAGACCAAAGGGAAGACAATGGGGCCATTTGATCTGCTCCAACAGGGGATTCAGGGAGATGGGTGATTATGTTATTCATCAGTGGAAGTTCTTTGTTGTGAAATTCCTGGATGGTAGCATTAAATAGATCACACGTGTCTTCCAACGTGGCCATCAGCTCGTCTGGTGAGACGGTGGCTTCCAGATGTTCCATACCTAACAGGGCATCAAAATCAAATTCCTTCAGATCCATCTTCTCCACCATCCACTCCATGCCAGAGAAGGCATCCTCTGCACAATACAGAAATTTACCATTTCAGTAAACCATCACACAGTGCAACTAAAGCTTACAAAAACAATCTATCAGTTTATCATCTCAGCATCTTTCCTCTCTCATGTATTACAGCACAAAGAGTAAACCACCAGGAAAAAATACTCTTTCATTAAGCTCCTAAAAACTGCAGGGTACAACGTTAACCAGCTCTTGTAACATTCCAAGCCTCTTATTTAAACACCAGAAGTATTCAGGGGCATTGGCAGCATACAACCATGCTTTTTTATTGCTCCCTCTGGCAAGAAACAGCACTATTGGCAGCTGGTATATTATTTCAAGGCCAACACAACAGGCACTTTACCATAACCAGCAATGTGTATAGGGTAAGCCATATAGCCCAGACTTTTTCCAAGCCCAGGTAACACATGCAAGACTGCCTTCAGATTTAAGAAAAAAACCTACTAATTTATTTTGAACTGGAATGTTGTGGTACTGTGTAATTGATGCCCTTTATGAAAATAAGTAATACCTTACCCTGACTGCTATCTATGGTGTTGCCTAAACTGTCCACAGCAAGCCAATTGGAGGAGACTGCCTTAGCCTTGTCGCTGGAGAACCCATGCGAACCGAGGGGCTCGGCCACCTCCAGGTAGTCATCTAGGAGTCCCAGACTTTCCTCAGCCACCGAACACGGCTGGCTGAAGGGGGATATTGAATCCCCCAACAGCATCTCGTTGTTCAAGAAGCTCATTTTCGTCAGCTTTTAATGCTTTGACGTCGAAGGATGTAGACAGGTAGAAGGTTTTTTCGTCGACTACAGCAATGCTGCTGTGCGGTGCCGTGAAAAACCTGCGAACAGAACTTGCACCCATCAGTATTCGGTTTGACCAACATAGCAACCTTTTCTACCAGGGGCACCTCAGGGAGCATGGCGGAACTTCACAGCTTATCTCCCTTCTTTATTTCTCCGCCGCTGCGCGTCCCCCGCCTCCCTCAGGGCCCGGCCCCGCCCACCCGCCGCCATTTCGCGCTCCCGCCGCCATTTTGTGTCCTGCCACGTTTCCACCGCACAGCGCTGCGCGCCCGGTGGCCAGGGCGGACTTAGCGCTGCGTTACTTCAGCATTTAACATTAGTAGTGGTGCCACATGGATAAAATCCCCCGTTCATCTATCTGCCATTACAGCACGTGGTCCTTATTCAAAACCCTACAAGCTCTAATGCCCCATTTTCCCCTATACACACCAGCACTTTTCCTCGCGAGAGCAAAGAAGCCCGGTCTGGGAAAACCCCTTACTCCCATGAAGATACCAAAAAACATATATTACGTAACAAAAAGCCAGATTTTTTCGAAAGCAAAGTTTTTCAACGGATAGGAAACGCAGACGTTCCTCGTAAATTCTTTCCAAATGGCATTTCCTGCTATTTCTGAGAGTCGCGGCACCCGGGGGTAGTGAGAGGTACAAAGACCTCCCCAGCTCGCACCATTTTGGCGTAACTAGGTAATTAATGTATTAATCTGGTATGCCTAGGCATTTCCCCCGTTCCCTGTGAGATACCAACTAACACCACAGGCGCAACAGACCCATCCCAAAAACCCACTTCAAGAGGGTAAGAGGGCACCTATCAACACACAAGGGAGGGAGCAGCCGTCCCTCACACACGATACTCACGCCATGGTTGCAGATGCCGGGGGTGTGCTGAGGCCGCCGCCGCTGCTGCTGCGCCTGCTGCACTGGCCGATGCCGCCGCTGGCCCTGCCGCCTTAAAGAGCCATGGCGGCCAGGGGAGGGGGGCTGTTCGTATCCGCGCCGCGCGGGAGGGGCTGCGCGCACCGACAGAGCCACGCACACAAACGCTCTTCTCGGCGACAGGAAACAATGAGGTGGCAGCGCCGCGCCTCCGCTCTTATATATGAGACACCTCCCAGCCAAGCTGGGGCGATGAGATATCCTTCCGCCAAGCGTCACCTGCCTGTTACCAGCAGCTCGGAGCCTTTGGCCTGTCTTTGTGGGCTTCTCTCCCGCCGTTCTGCTACGAGTTAAACACAGGAGCCGCCGACAACACGCCACGGCTCCACGACGGGACAGTCAAGAAGGGACTATATGGTGTATACATGCGCGCCCTGCACCCCCGCTTCGGGCGCGGCCGTGCCACGTGACCGGAGCGACTGAGGACGCTCCCCCCGCGGGGAGCGTTGGGGGGGGGAAATTTTACCCGCCAACAAAGACGCCGGAGCTCGCGCGGAAGACGTCACGCAGCTCACCACGTGGGAAGGGCGGCGCTCATTGGCTACGGGAGAGTCGCTGTCGTGCTCCGTGAGCTGTCATTGGCCAGGGCTCGGAGGAGACCAATGCGGAGGGGAAGGGGGGAAGAAGGAGCAGAGGGACCGGGAGGGGAAGGGAAATGGCGGCCGGGCAGGGTGGGGGAAATAAGGTTGATACTGGGAGCGGGTCGAGAACGAGCGGCCGGGAAGGGCAGTGGCGCCTGCCCACGGCAGCCTTGCGTTTCCCCTGACGTGCCCCTCTCGAAGCAGTGTGTGCTCCCCACTTCGATTTCCAACGGCTCCTTTTGTTCGCCACACAAAGCCCCGCTGAGGTCGGGCGGGAGCTGGCAGCTGAGGCGCTGCCATGGCGCCCCTGAGGCGGCGCAGCCCGCCATGGCTCCCTGCTCCCTTAGATAACGCGCTGCCTTCCCTCCCTGCCTGCCCCGCACATAGATTACGGGCTCTGCGCAGTGTCCGTGTGCGTGCAGTGTTTGTCTGCTCGCAGCGGCCATGGCGCCGCAGCGGCGCTGAGAGGCTTCTGAGGAGCCCGGCTGCAGTCTAAATAGTGCCTGCAAGGGCTGAAAGTTAAGTTGGTTTTTCCACAGCTGAGGAATAAAAATGTCGTCTCCTGCCGTGCAGTTTCATGCTGATGCTTCCCTGTTCTCTGCGCAGACGTCTCTCGGCTGGTGTGAGCATTAATTGATCACCTATAGAGCCTCGCGGCTACAAGGGCAGTGCCACCTTGGTAGCTTTCAAAGTGCGGTTTTGCATTTTATCCGATGCAAATCAACTTTCTTCTAGGAAAGAAGTCAGACCTCTTCCCCCACCTAAACAGTTCCACCAGCTCGCCTGGCCCCCACTGAGAGAGCTCACAGCAAGAAACTCACAGGGGTCAACAGTTCCCCCCTGGCTTCAGTTCCTTCATCATCCTTTCATGGGGTCACACAAGCACTGGGCAGCTCCGGTGAGCTGCGAGTTCCAATAGCTGTGTCATTCCTTACTGTGTCACAGTTACCCAGCTTCAAAAGGCTGATTTTCCACTTTGCCAGCCTCCCAGCACCATCTGCTCTGAGAGCTGCGGTGGGACCGTGATTGATCAAACATCAGCATCCTGCAGCTCAGCTTGCTCTCAGCTACTTCTGCAAAAGGCTTCACTATTTTCCAGTTAAAGCCTCTGTAGTATTTGGGTAAAGCCATAGGCTTCACCTTGTTTGCTCAGGTCTAACTGCCTGGAATGTCTTAAAAAACTGGTTGATGATTTTCAAGGACAGAGCGTGACCCAATTTTTACTTTTAGCAGTCTGGTCTTGGCGCCATCACTACAAAGCAGAGTATGTCACTGTATGACATCTGTAATGTGAACACTGGCTGCTGAATTAAAAAGGATTTTCGCTACATGTTGGTTTGTTGCTATTTTATTTTGGTTGGTTGGTTTTGATTCTTTCTTTCTTTCTTTCTTTCTTTGCAAGCACAGAATTTGAAATGACTCATTAAAATAGAGGAGGCAGAGAAAAATGTCCTCCAATGCCAAAAAAACACCACTGTAGCAGCTGAGCAGTCTGAGATAACTGTTCTGATAAGTACACTACGGAGGAGGCAAATGTTGCCTCAGAGGGAAATGGAGAGGATGCTGCAGCTTTTAAAGAAGCCGAGTGGGAGATTAGATGGGTGGACAGCACTTCCATGTCCTCACTGGCTAAGGCAGAGCTCTCCCATCCACTGCCCTGCCTGCCTTCCCCTCCTTTAAGTGAAAAGGGCGATTGTATGACCATAATAGCAGCTAAACAAACAGAAATGCACCCAATATTTATCCACCCAATCCTTCATCATGAAAAGATAATTATAGATTTCTCTGAAAGGACTCTGGGAATGTGTGCGCAAGAATCACGTAAGCAAAAATGAAGCATGCAATGAGGAACTTAACCCAGATCTGCCTGTTTCCTACTGCCTGCTTTCCCTTTTGTGTGTGAACTGAGGTGGAAATTCGTCTGTGTGATGAGTTCCAGACACATTGTCTGTAACAATCTCCAATCCAGAAAGTGAAATAAGTAACCAGAAGCCAGCCATTTACAGAAAAGCGTATTTTTCCCTGTTTGCTGCAGGACTGCAGAATAACTGTTGTTAAATCATTTAATGACCTACAACACCCACTCCTTCATAAATTATCTTTCTTCTTTTGCAGATATTATGTGAGAGATATCTCCACCGTGTCTAGATTTTTTAACCAAGGTAGAAGACACTTCCTTTTTTAAGCACAAATAACAAGTTTTGGGAATTTTTGTACAAAAGAATTTACAAGTGTTTTCTAAGGACAGGACTACTAGCTACTCTTTACTAACTCAAAAGTGTCTAAAAAATAATTTCTTTCCAATATTACAGAATATATTTATTGCTCAGAGACTGAGCAGCTCTGAAGAAAATTTAATTCCCAGCACAAAAAGGTGGTGAAGTCCTGCTGTCATGTTAACAGCTTTATCACCATGGATGTTATTTTCCTGCCCTGGGACCTCAGCAAAGGGGACTCCTGGGATAAGTAAGGTCCATCCTGACACAGAAACGAGGGGCCAGCTGCAGGAGAGGGGAGCTGCTCTTCCAGAGCTCGCTGCAGGAGAGAGGCCAAGGGGCTGGCTGGGAAGCAATGAAGTGCCCTGAAAAATCCAGCACTGCAGAGAGCCACCTCCAGCCAAACAGCATCAGCAGGAGGTGGAAAACTACTACTCCTCATTCACCCTCCTCCTTCCTTAGGATGGAAGGTCAATATCTGGGCTTTAATAACCTCTTTGTTTTTCATTTGTTGGTTTGGTTTTTTTCTTTTTAAAGTAAACACTACAAAGGAAAAAAGGTTTTCTTCTTCCACCAGCAAGAATACAGGAGACAAACATGCTGAATGCTGTTAGTAAGCACACCAAAGACCGAGGGGACGTAAATGTTTCCATGGGAACATGCCCTGACACAGTCTGGACGGGCTGCACAGGATGCTCCCAGAGACTGGCGGTGGCAGGGAAGTGTCAGGGCCACAGGGGAGGAATGAGGAAAAGCAGAGGGACATTTTGAGCAATTTTGAAGGAGAATTACCTACAACCTCTATGGTACATACTAATTCACAGTGCTTGCTTGCTTCTTTCCTCATGTGGTACAAATAGATATCTGAAAGATATTTTCTGCCAGATTCTCGTTGTAAGCTCTTTAGGGATTGCTTTATAGATGTTCCATTTTAAAACTAGATCAAAAAGCAAATATATATGATTAAAGATCAGGCTGGGAGGTATTAACATCCATCTTTTATTACATACAAAGTAAGTTATCCATATGCTCTGTTTCATTTGTTTTGGACTAGTGCACCAAATGGAATCTCTAATAAATCATTCACTGCTTACCCATTCCCTCACTGTCTTCTGTTTCCATCCTGCTATGTAAATATCCCTGACATTAGAAATGAGACTAATAAAAAAGAGGATTAAATCTGCAATTTACATTTGCAACTTACAGTTCAATTATTTCGCACAGTTATGGAAACAACCCTGGTTGTCCACCTACATTTTTCTTACTGAACAAACTTGGGCATGCCAAGCACATGCTGATAGCTCACAAAATACGTGTCTCCAGAGGCTTAGTTACTCAGAATCAGCCAGGCTGTGGCCAGCTGCCACAAGTAAAAACATTGTGCAAATCTGGTAAGAGGGAGGTGAGTTGTAACTTGCCCAAGCATGAGTTTCCTAAGCAAAGCTACAACTGGCTGAAAATGATGTTTAGCAAAAAATATGCATGAAGGAGGGAGAGGAGGGGATGCTGACTTTTGTTCAGACCATTGGGGGATATTTTTATTTGTCTCATTGTCCAGCCTTGTTTTATTATAATGAAAGGACTTGGGGGTCAAGAAAAATCCTTCATGTGCATTAGCACATGTGGGCTCAGTTTAACACACAAACAAAAGCCTTCCAGTTCTCCAAGCAATAAAAGAACAGAAATACATTTCATGTCAACTATTGTTCTTCATGGGCCTGTAGTTGTGACCCCCTGCAGATTGTGTGCTCTGTGTCTATCAAAATTCATCTACCTGTAGGTTATCAGCATCTGCTGGAGCCACACATGCCAGGTGTCCTGTGCCCTTCTGTGCAAAAGGATGAAGAGGACAGTGACAATGCACATTGCTTATTTTCTCTCGGGTTTCCTGCTGTCAGGATGACCCAAGAGTCCCTTTTTCCCAGCCCAATGATCGAAGAAAGAGTTGGAATTCTTCAGCTCTGGTTCACAAGGTTGTTTATTATCTATTATCTAAAACATTTTTTTCTTAGACCCGCAGAGGTCTATTCAGCAGGTCTGTCAAGGGCACACTTCCCGCCCCTGGGCTGGTGTCTACATATTATACTATGAGTTATATGTACTTTATTTATCATTATTTAACAATACTTATCACCAATGTTAGACTGTCTACTTCTATTCTAAACCAATCCAAATGTGCCACCATCACCAAGAAGATGGAGGCTAGGAAGAAGAAAGAAGAAGAATAGGACAACACCCAAGTCCCTCCATCCTGCCTCCTAGACCCCTATACTAAAAATCCCCAAAATTCCACTTTTCACCCTGTGATTAATTCATTATTACTCTGTGATTCTTCATACAAGGTTGATCATTTGTTCCATGGGTTAAGATAGAAATCCCAAGTGTCTTTGGCTTCCTGCCAGAACTCCCCAGCCCCCTGCCAGGGGCACGTGTCATCCAGGGCACCCAGAGAGGTGTCCTGGGCCCCGACAATTTCCTACCAGTGTGAAGTTAGCAAGAGCTGAGGCCTGACAAGCAGGTACGGATTATGGGACTGCAGCATCTCAGCCCAGACAGCAGGGAGTGAGTTCCCTTCAGTGGAGCTCCCTTTCAGTGTCCCAGTGTCCCTCGGAGCAGTCAGCACGAGGGCCCCTTGCTGCTCCAGCCCAGCAGCAGTTACCCTGCGCTCCTGAACACGGTGCCAAAACCAGCTGCGGCTCAAGCAGCTGGGAAGGTTCCAGGGATCTTTTGCGGGGTGTGAGATCTCTTTGATTCTGGTGCTGGCAGGCAGCTTCAGCAAGAGCACTGACACAACAAGTGTTCAGATGAAGCTCGGAAACTCATTTGAGGATAAGTCACTGTTGAGGCTGTAGCTGCCCAGGTCCCTGAGGAGGAATGCTGCAGCCATTATTCAGTAATAATTTTCCACTCTCCATAGGCAGCAGCTGCTCAGTGATTTACCAGCAGACTTTGTACTCTTTTAATAGATACTTGTTTACAAAGGAGGAGAGAAAAAATCCTGGTGGATGTTGACACAATTGTGATGCCATTGAGTTTATAGCTTTTTCTGAAGGAATGTCATTTTCCCTCCCAAGGTCTCTGGGTTAGGGGATTAGGCAAATTATGTCAGAAAGACTCTTTCAGACTTTGAGCCTGTTCTGCCCCCTGCACTTATACATAGACTGATGGGTGGCCTCAGTAGAGCCTCCTCAGGTGTGTTACAGGTGGCCTGGCCATAGGCAGGCTGGATAATAGTCCCAAAAGAAGACTACAGCCAAAGTACCATATTGAGTAGCTGCTGTGGCTTCTCAACCCACCTGCCCTCTTACTGCCATTGCTGTGGTACCTGGTGAGGGAGGTTTGCAGTTCTCTTAATGGGAGGAGGTTTCTGTGCTTGACTGGTGAGAGAACTGGTCTGAGACCTAACCCAGGTCTGACAGGAGCCAGCCACAGCAGCCCAGCTCTGCTGGGAGGCACAGCTGGCCTGCTCTTCTGGCACTCACAGGCTGAGACTGTTGAGGCCGTCCTGGCTTCAAGAGGAGACATCTCTGGGTTTGAGGCAATGCTGGTGCTATTCAGGAAGGTAACATTTGAGCCATTCACTTCAGTCATGCAGTCTCAGTAAGATGCCTTTGGACGCTGAGCACTTACCAGAAATACAGGTCTTGCCTAGGCAGGGGAGACTCACAAAAGGGTAAGCCTGTCCCAGGGCACAAAGCTTGGGAGTCACCAGTCTGCTGGTGACACCAAACATCCTCCTTGGCAGTGCAAAGTGATGGACTGAAGGTGCATTATTCTTCATTCATTATCTTGTTTTACATAGAAAAAAAAAATCTAAAAAAAAGAGAAAAAAAAGAAAGAGGAGAAAGATTCCTAGCCTAAAACACAAGTTCACTGGTCCTTGTTCAAGAAAAGGCACCACACTAGGTGCTTTCTACCATCTCTCTCATGACCACAGGCAGCAATTTGGCAAAGAGAAGGTTTGTGCCTTGGTCATGTCCTTGCCTCAGCAGAAAGCAGCCTCCCTGTGAGTGCCAGGAGCTGGGTCCCTGCCAGGGTGCTCTCTAACAAGCACAGTGGGAGCTGCAGCTCTGGGACTGCTGTGCCCTGGACTGCCTTGGCTCCAGCGCATTTCTGACAGCACTGCACTGCTGCTGCAAACAAGCAGCAGCTAAATGTGGTTCACATCTTGTTATCTGTACAAGTGCTGGTACTTACTGTCTCCAAGGTCCCCTGTGCTAAATAAATTCAAGAATCTGAAGGCAAAAATGTCATTCTGCCATACTGCTTCCAGGAACAACTGCTGCTTGCCTTTCAGGGGAGGTAAGGAGCCCACCAGGGCCCTACGAGTTTTGAAGTAATGCCCATGGTGGGAGAGGTAAAGAGCCAACACAATCCAGCATTTGCCATCCGTGCCCTTGGGTCTGCTGCCTCTGAGGCCTGTCCCTTGCAGTGCTGAGCAGAATGAGACAAGAGGGTTGTACAGGACTGGGATCATTGTAGTGGGATGTCTTATGGGACAGTATTACCACTGTGCTTCTGTAGAACAGTGACAATTCTACCACAGAGAGAGGAAGGGGAAAGATGGAATTGCACTGAAGCCAGTTGTTTGGTTTTTTTGGGGTTTTTTTGTTTGTTTGTTTGTTGTTGCGTAACAAAAGAAAATCCCAAACAAAACAAATAACACAAGTGAGAAACTTTTGTCCTTTATTTGTATGGAGAAGGCTTTTCATGAAGAATGTGGTTAGAATTTATATATATATATATATTTCCCTTGAGAAGCTTAGCACTGAGTGTTAACAGACAGATCAAAGAGCTACTTAGCCACAGGAGCCACGGAAATTGAACCAGAGCAGCAAAATAAAAATCAATCTGACTTTTAGTGTGTTTAATGTGATTTGGTTCAGAACTGACTTCTGCATGAGTACTTAGGAAAGCTTAAGATCACGAGAAGTTTGAGTTCCTTGAGCCAAACTCTGTGTCCCACTCTCTTTGCTTTTTGTAAAATGACAAGACCATTCCTATCTACAGAATGATTTCAGATCTTCCCTGCCTTACCCATTGTCTTATTGTCTCTTTTGCCTTATTGTTTGCAAGATTATTCCACAGGATCTCATATTGTAAAGAAAGGAGTAACAGCCTGCTCACCAGCTCATTTCTGGGTTCTTGACTTGTGAGTAATGCTGTCCTTCTCAAAGTATGCTAGTAAAAATTTTATCCTTGATTGTGTAAGGGACATGAAACCTATTCTAAGGTGTTAAATCTTACAAAAAAAAAAAAGGGAGGGGAGGCTATTTCTTGAATCCCTCAGATTATAAACTCAGGTAGTAACTCAGCCTGACAAGGATAAAGATAAAATCCAGATATCTCAAACACTTCCCTTATAGTCTGGACAGAGCAGTTCTCCCAGGGCTAGAAGCCAATACTGGGTTTTACTGGTAGGAGGTAGAATCTTCCTTGCTGCATCTGTGGGCAAAGACCCATGTTTCAAGATCCAGTCCCAGATTAAGTGAGCCATGCTGGAGCCATTGAACAGTGCAGGTAGTGAGCAAACATATCTTATCTGGAAGAAAATTCCTCATTTGGAAGAGGCTCCTCTTTTTTTCTGTGAAACTAAAAAGTTGGAAGAGGAGCTTATTTTTTTTTCCGATGAGACTAAATTTAAAAAGCAGCAGCTGTCTGCAGCTTTTCTAAAGTTTAGAATATTAAAACAAACCTTAAAAAATCATGGATGCAACTATTTGGGAACAAAAAAAGAAACATTATTAATGCAGTTCAACAGTTTAGCATGATAATCTCAAATTTGAGGTTCAGTCATCCTTTCTTCCCCAGTTTAAGATTAGATACAAAATAGGCTAGATTTTATGTATTTATTTTTAAAATTAAGAGATGCAAAAGTAAATAAGTAAAATGTAAACTCAGCTACATTAATATCCAGGACAGGACTGTGGTTATATAACAAAGTGGGCAAAATATTTTGCTTATTCCAAAATTCACTTGCCTCTTAAGCTGTTTGCTCCTCAGGCTAAGAACAAAAGAGATGGCAAGTCTTTGCAGCCTGGAGAACTACTTGTGTTCCTCTTCTTTGTAGTAACTTTTTCCATACTTGCAAATAATTATCATCCCTCCCCTCAATTATTTCTTCTTTACATTAAACAGACACTTATCTTTTGATCTTTCCTCCTTATTCATGCCAGGACAGCTTTT